GATGAGGAAAGTAATGGTAAACAATGAAGGTGTTGACACAGTGCATCTGCTGTAAAAAAGGCCAACAGCATGCTACAGATAGTAAGAAATGGTATCATAATGCCCTTATGTAAATCAGTGCTTTGATTGCATATGAGCATGAAACTGAGCAAACTCAGGGAGGCAGTGAAGGACAGGAAGGCCTGGCGCAATATGGTTCATGCGGTCACGAAGAGTCGGACACGACTTAACGACTAAACAACAACAACAAAATGATTGCATCTGGAATATTGTGCGCAATTCATGTTGCTGGGTCTCAGAAAGGATATAGTGAAACTAGAGAAGGTTCAGAGAAAGGCAACTAAGATGATCAAGGGGCTGGATCCAGGAGAGCACTGCTTATCTTATGTTATTTCCTGCTACCTTTTCTGAATCTCTACATGGTGGCCAAGTCTAAACAGAACTCAGCGTTAAGACAGCCAGGTCCTTACCCAACTGACAAATGTCCATTTATTTGCCACAATCCAGTCATATGCTGGAGAACTTTGGCTACTTAAGCCTTTTTATGCCATTTTATACAAATAAGTAAAAATGGTTGCTTCTGTTTATTTAAGAGCAAGGATATCATTTTCTCTGGGTCCCTACTCCCCACCCCTTAAGAAGGCCAATGAAAAACAAAAATTAGAAACAGTTCCTTCAATTTAATTTATGCTTCAATTAAAAACAACAACCAGAAATTCCCCGAGCAAAATGTCCTTAAAGAAGGAGATTTAAAACTACAGTCCCGTGCATACTTACTGGAAAATATGCATTGCATTACTTGGATTTTTGTTTGTTTGTGCCTAATGTAATCCAAACAGCAAAACATCTTGTGAGGCTGGGATATAATTTGGGTAGAGAAATGCACTTAGGTCCTCAAGTGAGAATTGTGCTCAAAAAGGGCTGATTGACCTGACATCCTATTTGAATGGTATGTGCAGTCTTCATGATCCTTTTGGATAGCACTGATTACAGATCCTTCTGTTATCTCTCTGGGTTGGGTTCAGGAGATTCAATATTACAATGACCTTGGCCCTTACTGAATGATCAATTGCAGAGTACCCAAATATTTGTTGTATCCTGAGATCTCTGTGGGATCTCAGAATGGTACATTTCCTATGGTTTATATATAGGGTGTACCAAAAGTGAGGCCCCATAGACAATTTATTATTAAATTACATTATATGTTTGAATTGGTTGCTATTTTCTTCTAAACACTTCCTTGTTTCACACATGATCTTTGAACTTTCCTAAGTACAGTGACATTTTATCTGGAAAAAATGTTAATAAAACATTGTGTTTGGCCTATGGGGCTGACTTTTGATACTCTGAATGAATGAATGAATGAATAAATGAATGAGTGTGCACACCTACACATACGGAGAGAAGTCAACTGGAATGCAAAATTACATAGTACTCTTTCATTTTACTAAGAAATTTCAGTAACTGCAAAACATTGCCAAGATGCTGATGAGGGCCAAAATGTCCAAACATACATAATACTATTTAACAACAGTTGCATTGGTAATCAGTATGTGTGTCCTAATTCCAAATGCTTATGTCACCCCAATATTATAGTATTAGAGAACAATTGTATACTTCTATAATTAATGCATACTTCCCATTCCTAATTTTGCTTACATTGTTTTATAAGACTACAGCTCTGAAAAGCAGCCTATATCCCCTGCTTTCATTTTACCCATAACACTACCACAACCCTTCCTCTTCTTACACTCCTTCAAGCAGCATTTATCTAAGATTGCCTTGGGGCCCTGAGCATTCTTAGAAAATAAACATGATGGGTCATTACAGCTTCCCTGCCCATTAAAATAAATGAACATGGTTCAGTTCGCCCACTTGCCACTTAAAAAAAAAAGTACATTGAGATGATGAAGAGAGGACAGCAGGGACTAACTTCACTAGTTTGCCTTAGAGAAAATTGGAATTTTATAACTGGTCATGTCCTCCATGGCAGCCATGAGAGTAGCCTAGTCCTTAAAGTTGTTAGGATAGCTTAAATGCAAAATGATCAAAATTGGCAAAATATACAAAAAACAGCACAGTGTCTTATATTTTATAAAAGGAAAATAAAAATAAGTTGACCAGTTCCTCAGTGGCAATAGCAAATTCTTATAAGTAACAAAGCAAAGATGGAGTTTTTGGAGACAATGGGCTCCACTAAGCAATCAAAGACCAAAGTTTGAGATACATACGTATTCCCTGACCATGTTTCTATTCATTTTACAGGAGTTTAAATCTCAAAGGTCAGACGATTTGCATTCTGACACTAAGGAACTTGCTGACCAGGCTGACTGATTATGCGCCATCAAGTCAATGTCAACTCTTAGCAACCACATAGATAGATTTTCTCCACATAATGATCTGTCCCTAACCTGGTCCTTCAGCTCTTCCAACGGCACCCCATTGCCACTGACTGATTCTATCCACCCTACTGCTGGTCATCCTGTTCTCTTTCCTTCCACTTTCCCAACATCACAGCCTTCTCCAGAGAGCTGGGTCTTTGCATAATGTGTTTGTAGTAAGATAATTTGGGCCTGGTCATTTGTGCCCGAGTGAGTACTCTGGGTTTATTTGTTGATGATCCATTGGTTTGTTTTCTGGGCTGTCCACAGTATTCTGAGTCTTCTCCAACACTAAAGTTCAAAAGTGTCAATACTGTACTCTTTCTATCCTGCTTCTTCAAAATCCAACTTTCACTTCCATAGTCACAAGGAATACCATGGCTTGCACAATTCTGATCTTTGTAGGTATAGACACATCACGGCATTTGTATATCTTTTCCAAGGCCTTTATGGCTGCTCTCCCAAGGGTTAGTCTGCAGTGTATTTTTTGACTGCTTGTTCCTTTACTATTGAGGGTTGATCCTAAAAGGCAGAAGCTATCCACCACTTCAATATCTTCATTGTCAGTTCTAAGGCTGATTGTCCTACCTGTTGTCATTAGTTTGGTCTTCTTTATATTTTAGTCCCATTCTTTCACTTTGCTCCTTGATTTTTTATTACTAGGGTTTGCAGATCCTTTACATTTTTGGCTAACAGGGTAGTGCCATCAGCATAGCACAGGTTATTGAAATTTCTTCCAGTTTTTTTCCTCCAACCATGCTCATCTTCAACCCAGCTTCCCTTAATTGGCATATAGGTTGAATAAATAAAGGGAGAGTATACAGCCTTATCTCACTCCTTTGCCAACCTGGAGCCAGTCTGTTTCCCCATGTTCTGTCCATACTATGGCTTCCTGACTTGTATGTTTCTCATGAAGACAATGAGATATTCTGGGATTCCCATTTTTCTGAGCACTTTCCATAGCTTGACATGATCGATACAATCGAAGACCTCTCTACAATCAATGAAGCACATAGTGACTTCTTTTTGACATTCTTTGGCTTTCTCATTTATCCAACATGTATTATCCAACAATGTACATATCTTAAAAATATTTTATTGCTAAAAAGTGCTAATCATCATCTGAGCCTTTAGCGAGTCGTAATATTTTGCTTGTGGAGGGTCTTGCTTCAGTGTTGATGGCTGCTGACTAATCAGGGTGGTGGTTGCTAAAGGTTGGGGTGGCTATGGCAATTTCTTAAAATAAGGCAATAATGAAGTTTGCCACATCAATGGACTCTTCAAGACATATTTCTCTGTAGCTTGAAATGCTGTTTGATAAACGCGATGCTTGCGAAGCGCATTAAGGCAAAGTGCAATAAAAGGAGGTATGCCTGTATTTGAGAACTCCTGAATAGGAGTTGAAGTGCCTTCCACATCAATAACATCATGACTCCTCCTTGAAAATGCCAACTGTGCCGATACATATGAAGTGTTGAAGACCCTCCCCTGGCTGATACTATAAGCTCAGAAGGAACAATACAGGATTGCTGTTGTTCAGTCGTTAAGTCGTCTCCGACTCTTCGTGACCCCATGAACCATACTGCGCCAGGCCTCCCTGTCCTTCACTGCCTC